GCTCAAAACTCGCTCTTTGGGGCTTCCTGCGTAGTACGCACGGCACAGGCCATGCAGATACGCGATGTATATTAGAAGCGTATGACTGACAGTGTAACGTCAGTTTAAAAATAATATAAAGAATGGCGGATGGCCGTAAAATAGTGCTGAAAAAATGATAGAAACCACAACGGGGTCCCCCAAAAAACGCGCTCCACACCCCCGGTCAGGTAAGACGCGCCATCCCTGCACGCACACATACAATATGAAGTTAAAAATTTGGAAAAATGCATGCAAAAAAGAAAAATTGAGAAGTATAATCAATCAATTGCTGATATCGCCAGATGAGTGGACGGAGTGATTCCAGAGGATTTTTCTACGAAATTCTGGAGTCGGGATGCTGAAGGCAACATAAATCTGCTAAGAGAGAAACCTTTTATTTGTACTAATCATATATATATATATATATATATAGAGAGAGAGAGAGAGATTTAAAATCCAACAGATACGTATATATACATATATATACAAAAACAGACAAACAAACAGGTACATTCTGGTCTCTGGTCGTTGGATCCGATAAAGTAATTTGATTAATTGTCCCTCTTATCCTCAAAATTCCCAACGCATTTTCCCTACACACAGTTTTGTTTTTCATTCCGACCTGAAGAAGCCGGACCCAGTGCACATCATATCAGCGAAACGCATCGTTTAAAAGTTTTTCCTTTTTGTGTTATCTCCACTTTTGTTTCGGATACCATTATGCCTTATACAAATACGTATATATATATATATATATATATATATATATATATATATATATATATATATATTCATCATATATATATATATATATATATATATATATATATATGAAACTTTGTCAAATTTTTTAAAATCTGTTTGTTGATATATAAAAATTATGCAATTATCTTTATAACGATATATGTAATATTGCTATATCATATATATATATATATATATTATCAATTGATAATATATATTACACTAAACGTTACTATAGTAGACACATTGTATATGCAATAGACGCCCCATTTTATTTATTAAACAGTTTATCAAATACGAAATGTCCACTATAACGTTTGAGTAATAAAAATTTCGAACTAAAAAATAAATTAATTAATATATATATATTATTAATATATATATATATATATATATATATATATATATATATATATATATATATATATATATATATATGGTGTGTATGTGTTTATACCTATATCTATATAAATATACTGGGGCAGCAGATCATTATTCAAAAAATATAAGGGAACAGCATAATAAAAAAAATATCCAAATGTTGGAGAATTTTTATCTTGATTTTCTCCCAAAATTAAAGCAACTATACGAAGTTTAGAACGGATCATGATTAAACATAATAGACATTCGCTGACTGTTATATTTAACAATTTTTAATGTTTGAATAAATTGGAAATTGTGGAGAGCCATGATCACTAATGTCCTTAAGGAACAAAGCACGTAGAATAAGAAGATATATACATTATACAGTAAGTCCCCAACTTATGATTCGGACGAGTAACTGAAAAAAAAAATCTAAGTTTGAAACTAATCGTAAATTGAATGCATATTTAAATAGATAGAAATAGGGATATACACCACCCACCCTTTTAGATTATTTTTTATTCTTAAAATAAGGTTAAAATAAACCCTGAATTACCACACTCCTTTAATTAATTGAAAGAAATCATGGTTCGCAATGATTAAATGAAATTAGTTAATTACCCTATATATAATGGCATAAACAAATCAATAATCCCTGTCATATGAAATCCGCATTTCAACAGGGTCATCAACAGTTCCCTGAACCGTGAGATTGTGAAAAATTGAACACTCATTGACAAAATACTTTACAGTTACATATAGCAGTTTAACCAATTTTCATAAAAAAACCTATTTGATAAGAAAAAAAAAGAAAAAAAAACGTGGAGAAAAATTTTAAATAATGTGTTTTTCGATATATAGAAATAGAATTCTTCAAAATGTTTTAAATTGGTAGAAAAAATATTTTTAGGAAATCGTTTGGAAAATTTAAGTGAAAAAAATTTCGGTGAATGTTACAGGCATTTTAAAATTCTACTGAAATTCAACTAATATATATGTGTGTGTGTGTATGTGCGTGAAATGTGTATGTATATATATATATATATATATATATATATATATATAAATATGTTGTAGTGGTTCCAACGAGAGAAAAGTATGTATATTAAAAAAAAGAGGTGCCGCAAACGTTTTGGTTGTAATGTGGATTTATTTAGAAAAATATTATGCTTTGTTTTTACATAATTTTACGACACGTGTTTCTGGTCTCATGACTGTCTTCAGGTAAAAGTGGAATTTCTACATATTATTAAAAATAATTAATTTTTCTTCATGTTCAATGTGAAATATTCTCGATATGAGACATTCTCTGTTTGTGTGTTAATATATATATATATATATATATATATATATATTATGCGCGGTACTTATT